TCAATGTATTTTGATTCCATGCCTTAGCCTAGGTCTGCAACATGTGAACAAACTTGCTGGCAGAAAGGTTCAGGACTGACAGGAAATTCTTGAAATCTTCCACCGGTAAATGATAGAACACCACCACTTGGTTGGGGAGTGCATGCCATTGCTTGGCCTTGGCAAGGGACTTGAAAACCTCCATGCATGAGCGATCGAATGGGAGTTCAGGGAAAAATTGGTCTAGGAGATTCCACTTGAGCTGTGTGGTGTTTGAACGAGCCGTGGCTAGTGTCCTCTTCCGCGGGAGCAACTGCTGGGAGGCCAAGAACTTGAATCATGTCCTGCTGAAGAAAATGGAAGCGACCCTCAGATGGCCCTCACCAATGCAGAGATGCCAACTTTTCAAAAAAAGGGTAATGCTATTGCACTTCCAGTTCCGGTTTCCCAACCAATCCTAATTTTTTGGCGCAACCCTAACAATTTTCATCGGCAAGTTAGAAAAAACTTTAAAGAAGTTTTCAAAGATCCTGTTGTCATTTCTTTCAAAACATATGCCTGCCAACAACTTCTTTTCATGGCAAAACAATTGTATTTACCTGAATAGCATTGTGCAAAAGTGAATTGTAATTAATTGTTGATTATATTTCCGCATTAATTCTGGTAAGTGTTTATTTTAATCACTTTTGTGGCAATTTTTGACAACTTCTGTCCAAATCATCAGCACAAACATTTTGAAAAAATCCTTACCTACCAACCCTATTTAATCAAAAGAACTTTTCTTGGCCTAATTAATGTGCTTCTCTGTGTCATAAGATCCAGCGTGGGCAGTATTTATCAAGACACAGTTAAATGCATTGCAAAACAAGTAAGCTTCTCCACAACAAGACTTTTCAATGAAGGTCCATTTTTGTGGTGTATTCGTCCCTGAACTTCAGCTCACTTGTTGCCACTGTGCAAAACAAGTCCAGTTGCTCACCAAATATCCAAGAATCAAATCCTCGACAATCCTGACAGTCCTCCACTCCGGTCAGACTTTTAGCGAGATCCTAATGTTCGACACATGTGTGTACGATATCAGTACTTGTCATACTTCTGTCTTGGATACATTCTGTTTATTGGCCCAGAATTATCACATGACTGGGTGACATTTCCGCATATTGCACTCACAGTGAGACATCTCATTCTACCAACGGTGCATGTACACGTTGCACAAGCGTACGTGCACGAAACACTTCGAGAACCAACAACTGTGGTCCTTTAATCAGTTTTTAGTCAGGTATCCATTATACATTTTGTGCATAGGCTACCAGGGAATTCGATGATTGCGCTCGTATAACAGACTCGTTCCCGTCCCAACAGTGCACTGGTCTCACATTAGCATTTCGGCAATTAACGAAACGGAGGGGAGAGTGCATTAGCATTTTGTAAATGATATCTTTTAAATGTACATTGATTGTGCAGTGTTACAGTAGGCGTGGTCAGCGACAGCACCGTGCCCCACTCCGATGGAGAAACGCCTGGTTGATGTGACCCCGGTGTGACCCCAGTGTCATCAAGGCCTTGCAGCCGAAGGGGGCAGAAAGGGCTGATCTGCCAGGAATGTGGTCCGAGGCGGTGAAAGCCGGTGGTGGTTTATCGTCGAGGCAGCAGGCAACGGAAGTCACGGCTTCATTGATGGATAGGAAGGCGGACATCCACGGCTTAGCAGTAAGCTCCTTATAATGGGAGCGGTGCCTCTTCTTCTGCAGAATTCTTGGCTCAAGCCAAGGATGGGCTGCGGTGGCTTGAAGTTCTGGTGGCTTAATAGCCTGGTAGGCTACGCGGAACCTGAAAAAGGGTTGGCGGATCTGATGTTGGCAGCTTTTACTGGCGGGTGCTGGGGTGTCACGGCTCAACGGTGCACCAGGCAAGGTGGGCCCTCACACTCAGGGGGAGCCAATCCTGCATGGTGACTTCAGTATCTGGGTGAGAGGGAGTATGCACAGAGACCACTGGAGTAGTAGTCTTCTTGGCCGATGTCGAATGGCAGGTGGTGCTCTTCAAAGTCGCTGGGGGAACGCTGGCTGGAGCACTGCGTGGATTCCTCTGGGCCATGGCAGTCAAAGGATGTGGCATACGATGATGGTAAGATAGACACAGAAGAGGTCTGACGGGGTACTCTCTTGGGAGTCCCGGGTGGCTCGCCAGGCCAGCGATTGACCAAGGAGACAGGGTCCTTGCCAGATCCTGGCGGTGTCCTTGCTTAGGTCTTCCACAGTCTACCAAGGTGCTTTCCCGTCAGCTTTGTGGGGTTGAATGAACCAGGGGCTTGGCCAGATCCTGGTTGGAACACCCTGGATAACAGCAAGGTCTTTTTCTCATCCTGGTAGCGGGAGAAGACAGCGACCCCCCGAATTCAACCGGCTAAGGCCTGTTATTTATTGGTAAGGTAGACCAGGAATAAACATTGTAATACAGTAGATAATAAATAACTGCTGAGTGCACACAAGAAAAACTGAAGAAAACAACAAAAAATATACATGATAGAATCTCTTACAAACAAATGGGTGAAATCAAAGTAACATTTTATTCCCAAAGGAAGAAAAGGTGATCAAACTGACGCAGAACAGTGTAGCAAAAACGGAAAACTTGATGAACCGAAGATGCCTCGAAAGGTATGTCCATTATTTATGGCACTGAGAAAAGGACGATCATGGCAGCATGGCTGTGTTACATTGTGGGAGGCGGGGTGCACTACAGCTAATCAAATCTTTTCAATGAATAATAAGAGGTGCATGGGAAATGTGCATATGTAGTGACTGTTTGGGTAGGTAGAGCACAGTAGACTCTCGGGGATGGCGATGGTTCCCATCTCCAGGCACTTGATTTTCATCAGAGTTAGAAAAATGTGCCAATGTGTGGATAGAAACTGCCGGGGGCAAATCAGGAGGGTGACCCAAGGTTTGAGGTAAGTGCTGTTGGTCTGGATAAATCCACCCAGGGTTATGTATGGCCGACTGGGTGACACTGGAGGCAAGTTGTCCTGTGCCAAGTCATGTTGTGCTCTGGGTACATTGGTGTGGGTGGATAGGGTGACACAAGGGGTATGGTATCTGCCTGGAGCGCGCCCATCTTGCGGGATGTGATGACCCGTGTTGGGGGCGAGCTGTCCCATAAATGGGGCAAGTTGTCCTGCGGGGAACCCGCCTGGGTCATACGGCCAAGAACGCCTTGAAGAAATTGGAAGGAGACACTGATTCCAAGCATTTGCAGCGTTTGGCCCAGTGCGAGAATTGGTCTGAGGACAATTCAGATGGCAACAGGCTGCAGCACTTTTTTACGGTGAGACTTCCCTTTCTAGGCCTAGTGACTTAGTGACTGGGCAGCTCTTCCAAGGCAGGCAGACGGAAAGCAGGCACGTAGGTGGGTGTGGGGTTGCATTGTGGAACAGAACTAACTGGCGGATCTTTACCCATTTGGGACCTATGGGCTGTGTCCATTCAATAGCTCACATTGGGCATGTCAGGGGCCTTGGTCACAGGAGCTCAAAACTAGAGCTTGTCCTGGAAAGGCAAATCTGCAGGGGGGAGGGGCACCCCACTGGCCCTTGAAGCTTACGACTGTGGTCTGATGTTGGCAGCTTTTACTGGCGAACTTCTTGGTTGTCAGCTGTTGTTCCCAAAAAACAGGTCCTGGGTGATGGGGTGAATTCTGCCGAGGAGGGGGTGCTCCCAGCAGATTCACATTTGAGGTTTGCCCCACGGGAGGATAATGCCTCCCAACCTTGTGCTTCTACAGAGGATGGGGGTCCCATTCCACAGGGCCCACAGTGGCCCTGGCTGATCTCCTCTTCATGGATCTTTCCATTACAAGTGTGTAGAAAAGAATAACAAAATCCATACTTACAAGAGCAAAAACCAAGAAATGAAAATACAGTATAGAAGACAAAAGCAAACTCTACTCTTTATTAAACCAATGAAATAAATACAAGTGGATGGAGGATGGTGGAAATAAACCTGAGAAAAATGACGAGGGAAATTTTGTGATCTGATAAGATGGTACGCCACATGGCACTGGGGGTAGCCTATTGTGTGAACTCTTAGCAGATGTATTGCGCCCTCTAGGGAAATATGCAAAGGTAGTGACTCTACAGGTAAGATTAACGCAGTACACACAAACACACACACACACAAAAGGGGCCATTGTTTTCTCATTTACAACATTTCTTATAAATTTTATTTTATTTGCCAAATCATCTGGTATTAGTACACAATATCCTGATCAAGGAACATGCAAATTATTTGCTACATGACATATTATACAATATGTGCATAAATCCCAATTATCTAATTGGTGGATCGTAGATTACATCATTGGATTATTTGTTCCACGGTAACCACTGATAGAACTTCATGTCACTTGACTGGTTCCGCATTTCATATATTATTTCCCAGTAAGAAAGAGGATGGGAACCATCTAACATTGCATGGTGCTACCAGTGGGTGGTGCTTCAGACACAAATCTATTTCACAAAATGGCGGCTGTTACTAAGTAAGGACCATTTGCTCTCTTAACAGCAGAGGCGATATTGGAACTTAAAGGAGATGCTGACATTGCTAACACAAGAGACAAGCGACAGTTCCTGTTCTGCTAAATGCTCAGATGAATTTGCAAGACAGACAAAAACATCTGCTGAGATAGTGGTTCCCAACTAGACAACTTCTTGTTGCAATTTCACGGACTGACAGCGGATAAGGCACATTGTAGGCCTACCCAAGAAGATCAGCCTATGGGATCCAATTAAAGCAGGTACTTTATAAACATACGTTCAATGGTAAAATAATTTCTTAAGGCGACAGATGACATGTTCCACACTTGAAATGACATGTCATCTGTTACCTAATGAAATTACTTACCATTGCACAAATATGAAACATTCATTATTTGTACAAAATTCCATGCTAATGAAACATAAAATGACATGTCAAACAGGGTAAGTGGCAAGATATCATATTATTAAATACTTGATAAATACTAACCTTCAGTGGCCTACATACTCCTTCTGTAATATGCCCAAGAACATCCTCGATGTCACTTTTTCTTGCTGTTGAACAAGCAAACCATTGCAGACAAATCAAAACAATGTGGCATCTTTGTATCATATAGATAATTGAAGTCAATTATTCAATCATGATTACTATTGCAGTGTTGCTCCTTAAATAAAAATCAGTTGGAAATGTAAAGTTTCATGGACCACTCTTAAAACTCTCAGACTGTCTAAATCCTGAAACAAACAAGACACATTGCATAATTTGTAATGCAAAACAAGCAAAGTGGCGGGAAAAGTATAACAAGGTATGAGTGAAGTCAATAACACTATGGCAAGGATTCACCAGGCCCATGCCAAACTCGGAGAGGTGTCAGCATTGTCCTAGCAACAGATCCTGCAATGCTTCAGTATTGTGTGTCCAGTGTTTGTAGATTGTGCTGTGTGTGTCGCTCATGTTCGTTGTATACCCAGATAAAATGTGTACGGTGAGAACTAATAAATAATGCATGATTCCAAATAAATATTTATGTCGCCATGGTCTGCATCATTTGGATGTTCTAAGGATCGTCTTCTGAACCGTGAAGTCATGCAATCTAAGCCTGTGGATTTTAAAATGACAAAATATACGCTTCTCTTATATCGGTTGCAATCGGAAGCTTTGCAAATCATGGCTTCGCAAGCTTGCTTAAATTAATAAAATCACAGATGACCACATTTTGGGCCGGCGGTGGGCTCCAGGAGCAATAACCGATATCTCTGCCAGCAGACCGTAAGTTTGAGCTTACTGTTATTATTTTCTTGTACAGTTTGTATCACTTAGGACACTGAATGGCAGTTATATTATTATCTAAAGATCCTTACTCGTCTTAATGATATTTGGACAGTGAAAATTATGTTCTACTACAAATCTTCCATTAAATTCCCCTCATCCCCCCCCCACAGTAGTGTGGTACGAGTCTATTAGAGAATTCTTATCTGAATCACCTACTTATGCGTTATTTCCCAAATGCCAGTTAGCTATTCGCTAAAACTTAATCAACTGCAGTGCACTGTCACCTGCCACAATGCAATGTACATGTATCATTGCCACCATATTTGTCCCTCATTTTCAAAAGCATTCCAGTGTCATAGCCAGAGTGGTGAGGGATGGGAGGGAGTACATGATTCAGGTAAGTATTCTCCAGTACACTTGTACCACCCTACTGTGGGGTGGGGGAGTCTACTGTGTTCAACTTACCTGAATCATCTACCAATGCAGAACAGCACTGTTTACCAAACATGCCAAAAGAGGGTCGGCATGGACACACAAATCTTAGGGTCATGTGATAAATTCTATTAGATACAGATCCTGACATTTAATATAAATCACACCTGACCAAAGGGTACATGAAAACACTATAATATAAATTGTGAGGTTTAAATGACATTAACCCACAAAGGATGCTAGATATCTTGCAGGTGGACTTCACCAAAATGGGATTGTGGGACTTTGGTATTGCTGATGTAAGAACTGTCCTGCAGTGGACAGATTCTGTTTATAAGATGCCTGCCAGGGGACAGGGAATACATGTATATATAGAAGGCAATTTCCAACATGCCGCTTTGCAGATGTCAGCAATAGGCACACTTTTGCAGTATGCCCATGATGTGCGCATCATCCAAACAGAGTTTGAAAATTACCAACATGAGGCCAATTTGTACTTATAAATTTGACATTGGTTATTGCATTGGGCAATGGTATCACATGTCACTAGACAAGGGGTTGAGTTGAAGTCAGGAATTGTACTCTTGGTCAAATTGTACTCTTTGAGTTCCTTGGTCCCGGACATATCCCATTTTTAGGGTAAATACTGACTGGGTTAATTCTTGGTGAAGTGTCTGCTGAGTATCTGCCAGATTGTTTGAAGTGCCTGGATTGCGGGTGGTCAAGAGATTCATTGCACTGGCCACTGCCCAGCTGAGAAGATGCCGTGCATATTAACATAGACAGGTTAGGCAAGTGCCACCTAAGCTATCACTATTTGGCAGCATCGCGCAATTGATCAACTGTTCTGCGCCAAGAACATCCCATGGAATCAGGATCAATCCCATGGGCTGCGATGTGCTCTGTATGCAGAGCCATGGCCAGCAGCAGGCCAACATTGAAACTGCAGGTGCATGATGAATAGAAAGTATGTGACATGTGTGGTATGCAATAATCCTCCCATTGAGCCGTGGCTTGAGCAGTCTGCTGTCATCAGTGGATTAATGCTGTAAATGTATTTACTGTAACATTAAAATAAGTGTACTTTATTTTCAACTTATTCAGCACTAAACCATCATTTTCAAAGAAAGTGTTACAGGTCAGAGAGTATGGACTTCCTAGTTAAAAAGAATTATGATCAGCAAATCATGAAGTCATGGCCTGACACAACTCCTTTTCATGACCTCCAGACTTCCAACAAGGGAAGGAGATATTTGTGGGGCAAGCGTTTCATCATCGATATCTCTTAAGTTATGCTTTGTTTAGACAACATCAGTTGAAGATGACAGGAAATTTTATGATTTGTAATAAAACAGGCACAAGGATTCTGCCTCTCAACAAAGAGAAGGTGGAAATTTACTGAGGAACACAAGAAGACTTTGTAACCGTGAAACTTTTAAGTACCCAATGTTCAAGTTTTTCCCTTTTATGTTCAGCCTACTCAGCAAACAGTCGTTATTAGCAGACTAGGGCCATTACCAAGAAGACTATTCAAGGTGCTGGTTTTGGAACCACATTGCTAGGCAACAATACTACCACATCAAAAAGTGTTAGACTGGGAGTCATGAATGGCTTTCAATTTCTTTTCCAGATCTGAATGAATTTGTTGAGCGGTTCCAATTGATGCTTATAACACTTTTTGCCTGAATCTTTCTTTGGTGTCAGGACTTTAGTCCTGTTGTTTTAAGGTGTGCGATTTCACTCCCACGCCATCACACGCCTAAAAGCTTCCGGAGAAGTGCAAATAATTGCATGTCTGAAACCATCCGTACCGCACTCATCGACATGAGTTTACTTTATAATTATGCTTAGCAATTTGTGAGAAAAATGAAACAAAAAGAATCGAACATTACGCCTTCCTAACAATTAGTGATGACAGAATCACTTTTTATTCTCCCCGCGAAACAGTTGAGTGCAACAGCTCTGTCAGTGTACAATCGTTCAGCACACCCACGTCACACAGCACTGCAGCAAACATTGCTGCATGCGTAATGCTACATACACTAGACTGTACATGGCTTTACGTGCTTCTATATGTCAAACACAGTGCCACGAGATCGCACCACTTTTCAGTCAAATTTTCCCAATGAATTCCCTGATTATCCCAAGTTTTTCATAGAGATGTCTGTCCTGTAAGTTGTTCCGATTACAACAATGGCATTTTTCATAAAAAACTTGGGCTTTTACTTGCATCTGCACGAAATGATCTCCAGAACTCATAATCCTTTCACGATGCAGGCTCCCGCGCCCTATGCGTTGTGAAACAACTAATTCCTTTAAAGGGACCAGACCAGTCAATCATGATGCACAACATTGTGCGATCAGCCACGGAGAAATCATGCCAAAGTGGATCGCAGCAGATTTTTGTGTGCAGACACGTAAACATCCTGATATTTCCCAATAAACATTTTTAGTGTTATGAACAGAAATAACTCACAGGAGGGAGATCTGGCGAAGAGAAACCTCTGGAAAATCAGGAGATTTATTTGAAAAATTTAATGGAGAATTGGAGTGATCTTGTGGCTCAGAGGAGCTCTGCATGGTCTGTTGAGGCTGCTATTAACC